TTAAATTAGATGATCAAAAAAAATGAGGCACAAACTGATCCATCTACAAGTCATGCTAAAAGCAAGTGTGATCTGACTAAAAGTTCTATCTTTCTTTTTATTATTTCTTAAAAGATTTGTTTCTCTGCATACTTGTGATACCACCATTGGTATCACCATTGTGATACTATCCACAGCACTGTTATAACCTGCAAGCAATCAGTTCTGGTTTTATAAATCTGAGATTGAGATTTTACATGGAGAGAAAGCAGAAAAATCTCCTTTCAAGCAATACTGACCTCACCTTGGAAGTTTTAAAAGACACAACCTTACAAGAAACGTGAAAGTGTGAGACCAGTCCTAAAGGCAACTAAACAAACACAGAACTCTGAAAACCCACAGACTGATCTAAACCCAGAATCCCGGATGGATTTTTAAACTCTGGAAAAGCCCTCACATGCTGGGCTCAGAGCTGTGCTACCATCAGTCTAACTCACAGCTCCTGGGAAAGCTCCAAAGAATAGTGGCTGACTTGAAGCATGTGCATGGCTCGGTCTAGAAGCATTGGCATCGTGACCTTATGGTTCTGCAGAAGGGTCACATTACTGCTCCTCAACACCTTCAAATGGCTGAAGTAGGGTATAGGACAAAATACAGAACGCTCCAAGCCACGGGACTAAAAAAAATTCTTATATATGTGATTTGTGGTTGACTTGTAACAAAATACAAACTCCCCAAGGCTTCTCACAGTCACAACATTTAATTATCTTTTCCACATGTTTTTTTCTGAGATTTCAAAAATGCTGAGCTCCATATTGAAACCTTTTGATACAACAGGGCTCTTTTTCTAAGGTTTTCAAATATCTCACAGCCTTTAGAAATCAACGTAGCAGAGATTCACCTCAGCATTCCTTAGCCTCCCACAAGCACATCACCCCACAGCTTCCTTCCAGCTGCCACCGAACCAGGCCTTCACTCCATCCGCATCAGACACCGACTGAGGAGGCCATGAGTCAGCCCAGCACTGCCAGCTTCTGACTGTACAGATTCAGACCTGATCTCTCACACTGAGAGATCTGATACTGCTGAAATTAGCAGTAAAGACACAAAAACCATTAAAGGATGGACAAAGGGAAACAAAGAGGTAGCAGGACTGTTAATGCCCTACTTCCCAGGAAAGCTGCTAGAAACTATTTGCATTCTTATTTCACAACTGATTTGCATGCAGAGATTCAGATAGGAAGTCCATCGGTGGCCTGGCATCAGCCCTGCGGGATGCAAGGAGCTCCTCCCTATGGAGTGACTCACCCCACAGCAGCTCTGACACTGCACATCCCATCAGAAGTGCTGCAGAAGTCTCCAGAACTGCCAGTCATGACAGAGCCAAGGGCCCACATGCCGATTAAGTCCACACCTTCATGACTCAGGCTGGCAACAGGCTGCAAAAAAAAAAAGCTGGGCACCATACAGCTCCCAAACAAAAGAGGCTTCAGACCTCTTGGCGCACCACCTCCCTGCACTCACACCAAGTACTTAGAAAACAAAAGAGGTGAGAGCACATTTCCATTGGGACTAATCCAAAAAGCGTTTAAAAAGAACAAAAAACAGCGCAAGTATGCAATTCACATTACATCTTTTTCATATTTTTAATATATACGAAACTTACCCTAGAATAGCTTAAAATGGCTCTGACACTACAGAGAAGGACTGAGTCAACAGACAAGTTAGCTATGGGAGATCTTTTTCCTACTTCCTTTTTTCAGTTTTGCCACTGACTCACAGCATGACAGAAAGCAACTCACTTCAGTTCTCCACAACTCCAAATTCCTGAACAACCTGAAAATCTGAACAACCAACTTAATGAACTTCACTTATCTACACAAAATTTATTTCAATGACACTCACTGTAAAAAGGCAAATACCCAAAGCAGCAATATCACCAGGCAAGAAATTACTCCATTCACATTTCTGCAGAGATCAGTGATGTGAGCTAGGGAATGAAAACCTCCAAACACAAAAATATAGGAACATATAACCCTCATATAGCTACAAAAACTAATTTATTTAGACACAACTATTCCACATATAAGGAATTTAGGTGAGCTTAAGTCCTGGCTAGAGATACTTTGCTTTGGAAAGGGTTAGGTTGTGACCAACTATACCATAGTAGAGAGATCTATCCACTGGGAGCAGATGGGGATCACTGCAGTTTCTGCAGCAAGTGCTGCCAGAGGGAAAGCAAGCCAATGGACTTACATTTACATGTGCAGTTTTGTAGTTCTGTCTGCATATCTCAAATGGGCAACACAAGTAACAAAACCACAGTGCATCCCACAAGAATAAGAAGCAATACACAAGCAAGTTTTATTACTCAATATGGTTTCTCGCAACTGCTTGCCTCAGCAATTACCTGCCATACTGTAAACCAAGTAGAGGTTTTAAGGTGGAATTAACCTCACAGAAGAGGAGGAAGAAGGAGAGAGACACACAACCACCCATTAACTCATAACAGAGGTTAAGTCATTGCTAAGAATCAAACTTGTTAGTGCTCCACTCAGTGCCCACAGGACTATGATGTGCTACTCCTCTCCCATCATTGCAGGGATTTGAGAACAGAAGCAGCAGAAGCCATCAGCTTAGATACTGAAAGAATCTTAACTTCCGACATTTATCCTGCAATTTGTCGGTAACTCAAACCCTAGTAATCATAAACAATTTCAGGAGTTCATGCGTGAACTCCATTTGCGTGGAAGCCAACAGAGCAAGGCAAGCAAGGAAACTTTTCCAGCTCTTCAACTTCTACAGGTCAATTAGTAGGGCAGCAAATTTGTATCTCTTCTTACCATACCATCAAACAACCACCTGCTACCATTCTTCCTTCCTGCACTATCCTTGAGAACAGCACTACCTACACAAAAAAACAAGATGGCTTCATGTTTATATTAAGTGGTAACAAGCTAAGGTGTGTTACTTGGTGAATATGGGTATTCTGGCCCCTTCCTCCCATTATAAAAGATAAGAATGAAAAATTAAGCAGGAAATTTAAGTTCCTGAAATAAAGAGAAAATAAAGATAGGGTTCTGGCTTTTTTCGATTGTTGCATTAATGATCCCTGCAGAAATGTTATCAGTGATTCTCGAGAGTGACCTTATAGGAGGTTCCAGCTTGTATAAGCTAACAGTAATTCAACCAAAGGCATTATGGATCAACAGAATTTCTACACAGACACCAAATGAAAAAAAAAAAAAAAAAAAAAAAAAAAAAAAAAAAAAAAAGGAAGAAGTCCTTATACTAACATTTAAGTAAATTTTAAGTAATTCAAATTCATGTTCTGCTACTTATCCTGCAGCTGTAGCTTGGGCAGACACATTTTGAAAACAAAATTTAAATCCACAATTCTGTTGTCACAGTTTCCTGTGCAAGTTTCTAACACCTGCTTCTGTAAAACTGGTGTGTTGATCACACAGAATACTGAAACCATGATCCCAGGAGTGAGTACTTTCTTCAAAGTTAGCTGGGCAAGCTCCATTCTGCTGGACTTTTTGGTCAAAAGCTCTGGTAGGATATCAAGTGACTTACTATATACCCCGATATCCAGGCTAATCTGGAAGTAATCATTATAGAGCACAAATGCTGTGAAACAGGACTGCAAAGAGGTAACTTTGCAATACTGGGAGCACCTTATGGTTTATAAACAAACACACGTGCAAAAAAGATATTTGTATTCCACACTAACCTGTTGAAAAAAAAAAATTAAAGCCTGATCCTCTGAGCTAAACAACTCCACCTCCTGCATCTTCATAAGGCAGTGTGGCCATCATCTACCACAGAAGTCTTCCAGGAGCAATGTCATTTTGTCAGCATTCACGCATACCTTGTTATACTCTCATCTCACCAAGGACCTTATCCAATTCCCAGAGTGTACCACTAGTCAGTCTCAAAAAACAAACAAAAAACCCTACAATAAATGGACTAGTAGTCACTAACTCTTCTGTACCATGCAAGCATTAGTATAAGTTACAGGTAAATTAGTCCTACTCCACAAAATCTCATTAACAAAGCAGATTCAACCAGTGCCACAGCAAACATAACCAAAGCAAGCAAGGTAGCAAAAACAGCTTTGTAAAAAAAAAAAAAAAAAAAAAAAAAAAAAAAAAAAAAGGAGAATGTGTGAGTTCACAGAACACCCAATTATCATCAGCAATACTAGCAGCCCAGTCAAACAGCACGTTGGGTTGATTTGGCATCACTCTTTTACATACCAGTTGAAGGTATCTGATCATCACAGAGTTCTCATTCACCTAATTAGCTGGTGGACATGCTGAAAAGAGTAGAAAGCAGTAGATAGGTAGCAGTACTTGAGCAATATTTATAAAGAAACTGAAAGCAAATGAAGGAGAAGGCTACTGATCTTCCCCCTCCCAAATCAATATCCAACTAGAGCCTTCCTTTCACCCACTCAAAACTGAAACACACTTTCACTATCAACAGAGGCAGTTTTGATTAAAATCTCTCAGTGCAACATTCATAGAAATAAAAAGGGAAGGAGACTCCTGTTTGTACAATAGGCCTGATTCCGTGTGATATACATTGCAAAAACATACTACCCTGATTTGAAAGCACATATTGCATTAGTCCAGAGTTTAACACTTGGTTACAATGTCCTCGTTTATTTCACAGAAATCATTAACATTTACAAGTGGATGAACTCTAAGAGAAAACACAGGCCCCAATTAAGCTGAATGGTTGATTTAGATTTTCCCAAAAACACATAGCATAGGTGTGTTGCTGATTCACAGCCAACAGTTACCACACTATTTCCAATGTCAAGCTTTTCTTTGCAAGTCAGCCAGTTTTAAAAACCATGGACTAAGACTCCATAATGCCTTTAAAATTAAGCTACACAGACCACAGCCAGTAGGATTTTCTAAAGGTACAGCACTGCCCTAATTCTGTTCCAATCATGGAAATTAACTTCAACCTCAACAGCATACTTGAAATATACACACGTGATCCTTTACCTTTAATAACAAAGGCTTCAGCCACCAGACGCAGCATGTACAAAGGTTCATGTTTTGTTGAGAGGTCATCAATTCCTGCTTTTGCATACATGCTGATGGCATCTCTGTAGGATCCCTCTACATAATGAAGCTTTCCAAGGATCAGCATCGTTTCGGTCATATATTTAGGCTGAAAAGGAGGTGGGGGAAAGAGTGAATACATGGTAAATAACAGACAGCACAAATGAGGTACTCAAGAACAAACTGAGCAAAATTAAGAATGCTTTATTTTTAACCTTGCCAACTACACAGGTTGGAGTAAGAAGGATTTAAGCGTCTAGTGATTTTTGGGATAAGCTTGTGAGAGAAGCAAACCACAGATGTCAAGGACCTACTGTGAAGTCGCCGACCCTATTCTATTCATTCACCAGCCTCTGCTAACACAAAAGCTTACCAGTGTCAGAACTAGCCACATACACATAAATCCCCCGCATTGAAACTAGGGAGAAAGTGTTTAGTCAGCTACTATCCTCTCCTCCATATCTTTAACTAAAGAGCAGGAAAGCTCCCAAACTTTCTCAAGGTAGAAAAAAAGAAGGCATGTCTACCATTTTTAAGATTTGACTGGTTTACTAAGGATTGAAAACATCCATACAAACTGATGAAGAAAAAAAAAAAAATCTCAGTAAAATACTCATGTTCAGACCCTTCTTGGGCTTCAGAAAGCATGAAGTGATTCCTAACTCTTTGCCCTCCTTTTCTCAACACAATCAATACAGGCCAAATCTTATATAAGTAGCTAAGTCATCTCCAAGAAAGAAACAGTAATTGCAATTCCTGAAGCCAAACCTAACACTAAGACCTGAGAAAATTCAGTGGTTCCATCCGTTACTGGGGTTGAACTATAAAGCTGGATGCATTATGCTTCCTTCCCTAACCATATATTTTTTAAATATACTGACTTCCAAGAAGTTAACAAGGAGCACCCCTGGGAAAAAAAAAAAAGACACTAAGCATGTGTGCCACAGCAAGCAATCCAAGTATAACACACACTTCAAAGATAACTAGCCCATAAGTTTCAGGACCAAAAGTAATACAAGTCTAGAACTTCAGACTGTTGTAATTCATAGACTTCTTAAAGCTATTTTTACAACTGTGTCTCCAAGGATGCCAGCAATTGTTGATCTTGAAACTTTCCTAAAGCTCTGCAGCTTAGCTTATGTGCAGCTACAAACCACGTACCCAGACCATGAAATAAACCCGAGGCACAATTTCACCTAACTTCTCTAGCAGAGGCTGAGAGAAATGCCAGGCTGTAATACTGGACCTGCACTACAAACTCAGACACCCAACAGCTGCTCACAGCAGGTCTCACATCCATCAGGAGCTGCACACAGTTCCCTCAGCCCATGAGCAGCAAGAGGTCCAGCAGACAGGCTAACCCAGCAACACTGTTCTGTGGCCATGCCCCAACACTGCAGAGAGCTCTACCTCTTTCTCATCAAAAATAAACAGTATATATTTGCAGCACATCATCTGTTTGGATGCACTCCATCCAACAGAAGACACTGCAAAGGGGCACTGAATTACCAGTACATCAGTAATGCCTACAAATACAGCATGGTACACAGAGGGACGTGATAAGGCAATGTCCTTCTTATCAGGCTAACAAGTGCATAAGAAAAGTATCAGATTAACAAGAATCACAGTGACAGAGCCCACTTACTCGCAGTTTTCCTCTGATTAAGACATTGGTCAGATGCTGCTTAGCCTCACTCAGTTTTGGCTCATTCCTCTCTGTCAGTGGAACAGAGTCCTTCAGTTTGGCAAAGTTTTCCTTCAAGCATTCTTCCAGCAAAGCTTCTGCAAGCAGCATACTCCCATAGTCCTCTGAAAGCACACATCAATCAACAAGAAGCATCACTTAAGAGCTGATCACTCAAGAATGCTATTTTTATAATATAAATAGCGTTAAATTAGCAATTAAATAGCGTTAAAGAATACACCACCTTCAAGAGACAGAAATAGTAATAACTCCTAGAGACAGTAAGAAATAATGCGGGGGGGGAAAGGGGGAAGAGAAGTTGCACTAACTTCGAGCTACTTGAAACCTTATGACACTTCCTTTTAATTTGAAGATCTCTCCCCGATAGGATCCTATAGCTTTGACAGCACAGTTCATTCTCGCGCTAGAGTGACACGGCTGCAAACCAACAGGTAATGCTTTCAGAGCAACCAAACCGCTGTTATGCTTAAGGGAACAAGCCAAAGTCCCAGCTCCACGCGCCACAGCCTCGCTCCTCAGCGGTTCTCCCACGGACAGGCGAGGCACAGCCCGCGCTTCAGCCCAGACGGGATCCTCAGAAGACGGCCGGTTCGGGGCCCTGAGCCGGGGGGCTTCAGCACAGCGCTCCGCCGAGCCGAGCACAGTGACCCGCGCACGGAGCGCCCCGCTCGCCCCCGAGCCCCGCCGCAGCAGGGCTCCGACCCGCTGAGCACAGCTTACCCGTTTCCTCCGTGCCCCCCGCCGCCGCTTTCCGCCGGGTGCGCGCCGGCGGCAGCAGCTGCTGCTGCACCAGGAGCCGGAGCTGCCCCCAGTGCCCCTCCGCCCGGCACCGCTCAATCTCCCCCTCCAGCTTCACGTGAGACAGCGGGCCCTTAGCCGCCATCTTAGCGCGCGCGCGCCCGCCGTCTCCGGCGGCAGCCCCCGGCCTGCACGAAGCCGCCCAGACACGGCGGGGCGGGGCGGGGCGGGAACAGTAAGTACGCTTCCCCTGGCGCTGTCGGGCGTGCTAGGGGCAGCGAGGCAGGGCCCGCCTCAATCGCGCGAACCACGCCCCTCACTGTAAGCCCCGCCCTCGCCCCGCCCGCTCTACCTGGCCGTCAGCGAACGCTCCACGTGGAATTCCAGCGGCGGTGACGTCCGGTGCGGCCGATGGGCGGGGTGCGCCTGCGCAGTAGCGGAGGGGCGGTGTGATGGTGGTGGGCCCGGCGCGGGGAGGCTCCACCTGCTGGGCACGGCGCGGTGGCCGCTATTCGCCGGCGGGTGCGTAGCGCGGCCGGGTCGCGGTGTAGTCGCGCCGACGGACAGGGCCGGGCGTAGGGTCGCTGTCATGGCCCCCTTCTCTGGGCGCCGGGGAGGGCGGGGGATAAGTGTAAACAACGGCTGTGCTGGCTTCGCGGTGTCCGGATCGATGCGCCGCGGTGCTGAGCGCGAACTTTGGCCCCGTTACCGCGGGCAGGGCTGCGTTCTGGAGTTCGGCCGGGCTGTTTCGTCCCGTTTTGGTCTAAGGGAGTGTATGTGTGCGTGTGTTCTTTTTTCCAGGAGACCACGATGGCCCCCGTGAGCTTTAGGAGCCCTCTGCTGTTCTGCCTGGTGGCCGCATGGCTCGGCCCTGTCCCGGCCGAGGAGCCCGCGGCGGAGAGTCTGTCCTCACACGGCCGCCTCGATAAGAACTTGGTGCAGGATAAAGAGTAGGTGCTCTGCGAGTACGAACTTCTCCGTGCTTTGCTCGTCTCTGAAGTCGGGTTACGTGAGCTGGGTCGCAGCCTGGGGCACCCTCTGTCCTCGCGGTGCTGTATGAACGGGTGGAGTCAGAGATGAGGCATTCGCTCAGTAAGTTTAGTAGGGATGTGAGGTATATGGAAAGGTCGTACTGGACCTTTAGCCCCGTTCACAGTATGAGTCATTCCTTACAGGCATCTTGGCTACCTAGATCAGCGTAACATGAACAAAACTGTATTTTAAAGAGGTAGGGGAGAGTTTTATTCTTCCGTGCTTCTTCATACATAAAAGAGACTTGGCAGCAATGACATTCCCTGCTTCACGTTTGACTGGGAGCGATCTTCCTCCAGTTACTGGGCTTTGGAAGGCAGCCAGAAGGAGATTCAGGGCACTGCTTCACTTTTCTATAATCTGTTAAGTAGGCCAGAAGAAAGAGGAACAGCTATCTATGATCCCAGAGACCACCACAGCACCCGTAGCAAACAACCTTTGTACCCTCCTCATTTCATTATAAAATACCTTTCAGTTGTGGGCAGCATGCAGGGTGCTTTAGAGATACGTGGTATCCATGTACTTGGCTGCTTGATCTAAGACTAAATTTTACGTAAATCAAGAATTAATAATTAACTGTTAACACTGTGTTTTGTCATGGTTGGTTTTTTTTTTCTTTTTTCCATAGCCACATCATGGAACATTTAGAAGGAGTTATTGAAAAACCAGAGTCTGAGATGTCTCCACAAGAGCTGCAGCTGCATTACTTCAAAATGCATGATTACGATGGCAATAATTTGCTAGATGGGTTAGAGCTTGCTACTGCTATATCACATGTCCACAAAGAGGTAGATGAATATTGTAATAGTTTGTGTGCTTAGAAAAAGTTCTGAAAAGCAGTTTGATGTAGAGCATCTACAATACACCTTCAGGGCAGTTACAGTACAACAGTTTGGTCTGAAAATGAGACTGTCTCCCATTTGGTTTGACTTATAAAAGTCCTGGCTTCATCACAGTGTTTCACATCACAGTTTTCAAGAAGACTCCGCTGTAGTTTAAACTTCAGTGTGAATGAAGAGTGGAAGTGATCTGATAGAGAGGATTCTTCGATTGGCAGAGATGGGGAGAGGAGAAAGGGAAATTATCCAAATTGGAATTAAGCTAAAACAAGGTTATCGAAGTAGCATGTGGTGATGCTGCTGCAGGTCCTGAGACTGCTGTTTTCAATTCCAAAATGTCACTGCTGTGAGTATGCAAAGTGCAGGAGACCTCTGCACATAGTGTGACAAGAACCAGTCATAGCGTGCCTTTATCTTTTCCTAAACACATTTTCATTCTGCCTGTGAACATTTAAGGACAAATGGAGATATAATTGCTTTGGGAAGATAATGCTGACACAATATCTCACACTGACCTTTCAAAAATTACAATTCAGAATATAACTTAATGTATATTGTTTTGAAAGGCAGAGAATGTAGACTTAATAGCTTGCATCTGGTAAAATTTGCTTATATTGAAATAAATAATTACATAACACCTAGTGCCACATTAAACATCAAACATGAGCTGCTTAACAAAAACCAGTTGTCAGTAATCTGTCAAATGTGCCGCTGCATGAGAAAGATGGCTTAACTGTTGTCTTGTTTTTTTGTTGTTGTAGGAAGGTGGTGAGAATACCCAGGCAATGAAAGAAGAGGAGCTAATTAGTCTAATAGATGACGTCTTAAGAGATGATGATAAGAACAATGATGGATACATTGACTATGCAGAATTTGCAAAATCACTGGAATAAGGTTTTGAAGGGGGCTTGTTTCTCCATCTAACAGAATGGGAATGTGACCCAGTATAATGTGATTTATTAATCATGTCAACCTTTGTGCTGAGGTATTTGTGAGCTGAAGTGTCCAGTTGAATTTGTTTGCAAACTCCATGTGTTAAGAGGCTGGCTAATCTCAGAATGGTAGCCACGCTTGACTAAAAGTAGGTACGTATATGAATCTCGAATGATGGAAGCATCAAAATATTTCCATAGGCCACAGCTGGCAAACTCTTAAGCTAAATGTGAATACTTAATACAATCAAATACAACCCAAATTCCTTTTTTTTTTAATTGAGTTGTATAAAACTTGTTTGCTTACGTCTTCTACTTTAATCTATGACATACCTAGAAAGAAAAGATGATGACTGCGTGAAGTTGTATATAAAGAAGACATTTCCTTTTTGCTAATTTCAAAAGAAATTTTCATACAAGTATGGTGCTTGAAACAGCAATTGTAGAAGATGAAGGTGGTTTGTGTTTGAGGTCCCTCTGATACTGTGTGGATTTTAATACTATCTCCAAAGAAATTGAGTATTTTTAAATATATGTACTTGCTAGCATACCCTTACACATTTATATACAAATGTACACTTTTCAGTTTCTTCTCATCCTTCACAAATTTACTTTTTATTTTTAAATTTTTCTCTACCTTTCGTGGTCTTTTGTTAAGAAAATGAAAGTATTTTTAATTCATATACAATGTTGTATTAATGCTGCATAACATCTACTAGAATACCTTCTGCTATCTCATTTTGAAGGTCACATTAACTGTAAACCAGCTCAATACTGAACTTTCTTTTCAATTTGGTTCTTAAAGTATTAGCCAGCAGGATAATCTGTGAGCAAGTAATGCTGCCTTGTTGAGGTTTAATTTCATATTTCTTGACACATAAGTTACAGTGTTACTTTCAGGAGGCATTTAATCGCTGTTTAAGGATACTTGAATGTTTGTAAACAAACATGGTTCTAGGAATGTTTTCACTGTCCTCAATACTTGCTAGGTCAAGCAGTTTAAGGATGTGATGTACAGTGATGTACAATGATGTACTGCTGCTTTATTGACATTTGGTAACTATTAAGCATAGCTGAAATCTTAAATTGCATTCAAACACTGTCCATGAATAGAAAATCTAAATGTTAGCATTTCTGTAAAGTGCATAAAGAGCTATTTTCTGTACAAAATTATTCTTATACAAGAGAAACACATTTGTAAAAGAAATTATTCCATTTGTTTAAATGTTTGCACAATGGATCCTGTGTTGGACTTTTTTTTTTTTTTTTAATAACTACTTTGTGACCAGGCTCATGCTGGTTGTACAAACAATAAAAAGAAGTTGGGATTGTAGCACTTAGGAGCCAACATGTGGGAAGTTCTAGTGAGGCATGTGCTTAATTTTCCAATAGAAAGCCCATCTGTGTTACTAGCAGACATCTTAAAAACAAAATAATTATTTTTTATTTCCATGGTAATAAATTTGGAGTGAAAGTTGAATCTGAAGAAAGTACAGAGAATTGTTAATGGATAGGAAGGGAAGGGAGACAAAGGGCTCTGAACATCTAAAGATTATTGATCCTGGCAACTCTTACGTGCTTACTTCATAAGCTTTTTTTGGAATTACATTGGACCAAGAAACTGACTTCTGTGTCCAGCTCTTAAGAATCATTCTTTACTTATCAAGTGCAGTGGTCTTAGAGACGAAGAAAAATGCTTAAGCTTAGTCTAGCAACCAGTTACGTGGCATGTATTTATATAAATGTCTTGTTTACATGGTTATTAATAGTTATCCTATGTGGCAAGGGATGTCTTGTATCAGGAGTAATGATGATAAATACAGATATTGTGGATAGCATTTTTTACCAAATAATTTAAACTTGTTTTTATGGAGTCAGAAGCTTGTATAAATTGAGAAACTGCTTGCCAAAAATGGAGAATAAAATTGGCACCTTTCATTTCACAGTGCTTTAAGAGAGTAAAGTAAAAGTTCTGCTTTCCTAGAAAGATGTACAGCTCTTGAAATATCCAAGCTGAAACCTGCAGCATCATGTGTTTAATCATCATCCTAAAACAAAGACATCCATTTAATTAAGTGCACTTAAAGAAAAAAGGTTGAGTCAATTTTTTTTAATTTTTTTTTTTTATAGTTTAAGTAATTTGTGTGCTTGTAACTCATGCAGTACCCTAAATATGTTGGTACAAGTCATGTACACATACAGTGTTCTCCAGTTTGAGTATTTAATGGAGAAAACAGGGCCTTTATGGCAGAAGTACTCAACAGCTAAAAAGCTGCTTTACCTGCTGAAGAACAGTACTGTCTGTTTCAGAGTTAAGATAATAAATGGATAATAAAGCAGGAGAAGTGTTTGATATACTGAGTGTTAACTGCATCCCTGTCAGAAACAAAAAACTAGGATAAAACCTGTGCAGTCTTCGTCCGTTCCAAGTCTATGATCTCAGGGAACTAGAATTAGTTTTCCCCATTAGAGGTACATCTGGCCTTACATTACTGTACACCATTTAGTTAAAGCATCTAGATTTTCTGCTTCAACCTTAAACAATACTACCTAATCAGCAGCTAAAGAAAACACTTGAACTGATTCCTGAATATTCATAAACTGAGCTATTGGTCACTGGTCCACCTAGATCACAGTCAAAAGGGGAGAAGCCTTTTTAAAAAGTGCAAATTATTAATGCCAAAAATGCTTTCAGCAACTGTTTTGTTTGCAAACTCGCACAAACTTTAGTATCTTCTTTTGGCTCATAACTTGTGGCCTCAAAATGTCTTAAATTCATTACAAAATGGTTAAACTTACAAATCCTGATCTCATCTAAAGCATTTTCTTAATATTGGCAATTTGCTAGAGTGGAAACAGTAATTCAGGAATGATGTTCTCCCCCTTACAGCCGCTAGATAGCGTATCAACACCACAAACTTGTTCTTGGCAGTATGCAACTTGAAGTGATTCATAATGGATTTCTTTATAGCATCAACCACTATCGCGAATACCAGTGAGGCCTGCTCCTCTGTCTTTTAACAAGAGCATGTTGCCAATACAATGCTGGTTACTACTAATTCATTTTCATTGCTTAGGGACTCAAACCTGCCTGAAGTGACAGTAAAGCAACTGATGTAATAGTGTCAGTAAAAACAATGTTGTAACAGAAGGCTTTACAAGGCAAGCACCAGGCCTGACTTGACTTCTTGACCATCACTAGTTGTTGACCACTATGAGAAGGACCGCTGAGGTATCAATAGTAGTCTCAGACAACATTAAAAAATGTTAGGGGTTTTTAGTAGGACCTGAAGCCTCCCCATTTTTGCATCTCATGTTAGTAAGAGTCTCTTATTATGAGACATACTTACAGTGTGAGCTGATGTTAAGCTTAAGCGTTGGCTTAAAGTACAATCTCCTACTTTCTTCATCTCCCCCATGACATTGTCACTGTCTGCCTACTGCATCAAGAAACAATTCTAAGTTTTTAGCCAACAAATTAAAACAAAGATCATTATACACTTTAGTCTGTGTTATTTACCATCACAAAGAGTTTGTGCTCTAAATGTTTCATTGGCACAGATAGCTGTCTGTATTGAATGAGATCTATTATAAGAGCAATTATTTATGCCTTACAGAAAGTTTAAGTTTGGTTATGTTTGTTCCTGCTCTTCTAAATTCTGAAACATCCTAAATATAAGAGCTAATACATGCTCTAATTGTCACTACCTTGCTCAGCTGAGTGGCAGTTTTGCACTTAGGTAGAGGGCAGTGTAACACACGACTCAAAGTATACTGTCAGGTATGACATTTTACAAGAATTCAGTTCTGCAATGAAATAGTGTCAACCTCTGCCACTTAATCCCAGTGACTGACAGCAATATATGTCAAGAAGGCAGATGTCAATAAACCCAGAGAATGGGTAGGGAAGATCTCATAGAAGGCAAACCTCGGGGAAAAACAAATTACAGAGAGCTGTCAGCTCCTTCAACAAATGCTAATAAGAAACCAATTGCAAGCTATACCACTTTTGAGGAAGGTAAGGAAATTCAGCACAAGTCAGCTAATGTATAAGATTTTAATTGACCACAAGCATGAGAGAGAGATCTGTAAAGAAGAAACTAGGTCAGCTAGTAGAGAGCATACAACAATATGTCATCCATAAGTGTATGTATGTATCATAGAATCAGAGAATTGTAGAATGGCTTAAGTTAGAGGGGACCTTAAAGCTCATCTGGTTCTAACCCCTCTGCCATGGGCAGGGCTGTCACCCACCAGCTCAGGCTGCCCAGCACCTCATCCAACCTTGGGTAGAATGCTTTCAAAGAGGGGGAATCCACAATCTCTCTGCGCAATCTGTTTCATCATCTCACTGCCCTCTGAGTGAAAAACTTCTTCCTAACATCTGACCTAAATCCATTTACTCCATCCTATCACTATCAGACCATGTAAAATGTCAGTCTCTCTACTGCTTATAAGCACTGGAAGGCTTCATTGAGGTCTCCCTAGAACCTTCGCCAAGTTAACAAGCCAGATTCCATCAACCTTTCCTTCACAGGAGACACGTTCCAGTCCTCTGATCATCCTCATGGCCCTCCTCTGGACCTGCTCCAATAGCTCCAAAACCCTCCTGTACTGATAGCCTAGACCTGCACATAGTGCTCCAGATGGTGCCTCACAAGGACAAAGCAGAGGGACACAATCAGCTCCCTTTCCCTGCTGGCCACCCCTCTTTTGCTGCAGCCCAGTATACTGTCAGCCTTCAGGGCTGCGAGAGCACACTGATGGCTCACATAAAGCTTTTCATCCATCACGTCTCCCAAGTCCTTTTCCAGGGCTGCTCTCTGCGAGTTCTTCTCCCAGACTATCACAGATACAGTCAGTAAAGAAAGAGTGCACAAGGTGCAACTAGCAAAACATATTAGAAGCTGTCAAAATTTTACAAGTGGCGTTACAGAGAAAAACGAAAGAAAGATGGGGGAAGCTGTCAGCAGAGGATGTTAAGGGTGTGAGAGTTTAATGGAATTTTTTTGCCCTTTCTACTAAAAAGGCAAGAAAACAGTGCAATGAGTACAAGAGAAAAAAGTGTTAAAACTTCAGCCTAAAAAATGAGAAATCTGCCTAGAAAGTAACCCATTAAATTAGATGTTTTTAAACTGCCTGGGCCCAATCAGCTTCACTCTAGTAGTCTTAAAGAGGGTGAAGTAATGGCCATAAGTGTCATATAACTCAAAATTATTTATTTAAAGTAGGGGTTTTTTTGCAAAGCCTTTGGAATACTTCCTCATAAACAGGCTAGTGAGTTGTGATCTAAATGAAACTGCTGTGGGAAGGGGCAGGAGGTCAAGTCTGGTTGGATGATAGAATTCATAGCATAATTAAAAAGTAACATTTCAAAATAGATGTGTTCTACAAGGAATTCAGTGGAGATTGGTCCCAAATCCGGTTTTATTTGATGTTTTTATTGAAGGCATAGAAGATGAATGTATGAAGAAGTGTAATAGAAGTATGGCAAATAGGCATACAAGTGGAGATATTATGAATGGCAGAATCAGAATTTAAAATGATCTTGATACATTTAGAGAAGTCATCTAAACCGGATGGAAGGCAATAGTATAAAATGCCACGCTTAAGCAGAAATACTCATCTGTCTAGTTCATAAGATAAAGATCTAGGGACTGTAGTGGAACACAGTCTGAACACGAGTGGCAGAGCTGTGCTTTTGCATAAAGCACAGATATGACATTGGGATGTCTAAAAGGGTCTTAAAGACGACGAATAGAGTCCTTGTGGTCTTATCTTCATTGATGAAGACTTAACTGGAAGACAGTGACCTGTTTTGTGCACTGCACTTCAAGAAATACATGAACTAGATGGTAAGAAACCAGAGGAGATCAACAGAAATGGACACAAGTCCAAAAAGCATGAGAAAAAAAATTGCAAGATTCTTTTTTTCCCTAAAAAAATAATGTTTAAAAGGAAAGATTAATAGTCCTCAACTAGCAACAGTGAAGTCAGTTGTTCGGTTGCAAAGAACAGCTGGGAGGACCATCCTGCTGCATTCAGTTCCTGTGCTGTGTGACAGAGCAGTCTGCAACCAGAAATCTGCTCATTCTTGGCAGAGTTTGCCCACTGCCACCAAGTCCAAGCGCAAAGCCTGACAAGTTTCTCCTCAGCACATTCAAGGTGTGATTGTCAAGAGCCAAAAGTGGACACTTTGAATCAGAAAGAAGTGGGGATGGAAACATAGCCCTGACTCTAAGACAATATTTCACTTAGGTCTTCAGCCCTAGCTCCCAAGCATAAAGATACTAAAGCTGTTTCTTAGAAAAGACAAGAATAAACAAAAAAACAAACAAATAAATAAAATAAAAAGGCTACTGACTTTTTTTTTTAATGACAAAGTGAACTCCTAGCCCTGTTTTTAGCAAACAGTCAACTATTTTTGCTGAGATGGAGAATATAGTGCAAGAACATCCACACCGAGTTAAAGCAAAAGCTCACTTAGCCCAACAGCTTGTCTCAGTAGTGTCCAAGAACAGATGGAATAATAAAGAATAGAGAAAGCATATGGTCATACTTCTCACAAATACATTCACAGGTTTCAGCAATTTGTGGCTCAGGGACTTGACTTCAACAACAAAAAAACCACTAAAGTCAGAAAGATCAAGTCTTAAATGTTAAAGTCAGGCAACACTACTAACTGCAAACAAGGTCTTATGGAACATGGGCAATGTCCCACAGTCAGTGGTATGTACTGGGCAGACTTTACTGTTGACATTGCTAAGCCATGACCTTCAGTGTAAGCTAAGTGCATGATGCAGCAGTGATCCCAGAGAACCACATTAATGCAGTGGTGTAGCACAGCTATACTGTTTCTAGATATCACATGCTTCTTATCTAAGGGGAAGCTTTCAAAATCATCTAATGGTTCAGTTTACTTCTGGCTTTGGTCACACTTCAAGAACCACATTTAAAAATTACCCAATTTCAAGAAAGTAAAAGCATGTATTTTGAAATAAATCCTCTTTCAGAAACACATAATATACTCCAGAATTTATTTTGTCATAAAACAGAAAGAAGCCACAAACACAAAAATATTGACTTAAGTGTCATCATCCATGGCTCGCAGCCATTGGAGACTGACATATTGGCACAAATCATGGCAGGTATGATGTTTTGTTCCAGGAAAGAGAACCGAGATGAATAGAAATCAGATTTGAATGCCAGTCCCTTTGGGAGATGTCTTCAGGGACTTTGCCTTCAGGGACTTTGCAGAAGTGACTGTAAAACCACGCTGTCAGCCTCAGCATGGATTGGAGTGGGAGTCAGGAAGTGCACTGGTGAGGATTTTAGGCAGCAGGGCATGCATTTAAGACTGGTCTAAGAGAAGGAATGTGTACGTTTAGGATGCATGCGGAGTTGGTTAGACACCTCACATTTGCCATTGTAAATTTAAGAACATGTTGGCACTGACTAGTGCAGTTAAGATCTCCAAAGAACACATAACACGTATACGTACACCGAGGCGGAAACCACTTTCAGTAACCAAATAATTCTGTCACCAGACAGCCTAAAACTACTCAAAGGCACCATTTCTGGCCAAGACCAACAGATTTAAAATATTTTTTCGAAACTCCAGGCAAATGAATTTTCAGTATACGACAAGTCAGAAAGTCTTTAGGAAAATCTCCAAGCAGATGATCTCATTTTTTAGCTGTCATATCTCTTAAACACCTTGACCAGTTTCCTTCAACTCTTCCAAAAAATCTGTCCCAGAATAAGATTATGCCTGTGAAGTTGTAGGTGTATAAGGCTAATTTTGGCAGAGACAGGAATAGGAATAAAATCAAGTTTATAATGGAAACTTAAGGACATCTGCAGTTTACTGAATACTGTTCACTGTGATCTATATAATACATGATCTTTTCATTGCAGCAAAAATATAAAGTGCTTTTATTATCAACAAGGGAAAAGACCACTTCCCCCATGTGACGTCCTACATATGAGATTAAAAGTCCTGGCAGGTCATGCAAATATTTTTGCTTCCTCCCACTGAAATGTTTATAGGATCCAGATTCATTTCCTATGGTCTGGCTTCAGGATTTCTACAAAGACTTATTACACCATGTTGGCAGTTCAGAATGATGACAAGTTCTGACTGCAGATGTGTCTCTACCACAGGCCTTATTAAAATTGCAACATGTTATTGAGGTACCCAACTACCTTTAAATTAGTCAGCTAAGATACTGCTAACACCATACCAATAGCATTACGGAACACAGCGCAACAGCAAAACCGAATATAAACACGGAGTAAGGTAAGCAACTTATCCTTTTAGCAGGCCGTGCTGAACACTTTGTTCCTGGGACAATGTTACTAATTGGACTCAGAGTAGCTAGTTTAATGGTGATTTAGGTATGCAAGAGCAAGCTCTACACCATCTGAACACAGCACTCACACAGTTTTTGCTGAGATCTGGAAATTTTCTAGCTTGTGCAATGGCTAAGGGAGAACTCCTCTAAGGAGTTTAACACAAGCTTTCTCAGATTCCTGTGGAAGTTAAAGGTCCTTTCTGGGGGCTTGTAAAGCTCCATCTAATAAAAACAGTTTAGGGAAAGAGATAGGCGTATACCAGCTGCAGATCAGAGAGCACATTTCCTCCAGAGTGCAGTTGAGCTCCACCTGCAGATACTGCTCCCAGAAACTGCACATCACCCTCAAAATTATTATCTGCCCACTGAATCTGATGCAACTACTGACCCACAACCATGCCACTGGTTGCTGGTCACCAAAAAGCTTCCCAGTACAAGAACCTAATCCGGAGGCGAATCAGTCTAGCCTGAAAACTTTTCTTGCTGGCATCACCAGTATTGGTTGAAAGTGCTGGAGAAAAACAGCTTCCCTGAACCAGATAAAATTCTTCCTAAACGCCATGCAGCTCATTCATCTCATGAGCTAGCAACTTCAGACTGGTACTCAGATCAGCACAGAGATCTGACAGTCTATCCTGATACCACTTGACAAGGAATGTTGGTCAGGAATACAACAGATGGACAAGAGAAGGTAAAGGATAAGATAAAGAGAGCTATAAGCAGTCATACATACCCAAACCCAGGATGTACTCAATCATAAAAGAGTAGATTTCCTCCCAAATTCTACTCCCTGTTAGTGTAATCTCAGTCCGCTAGAAGCAACTTCTGTCAACACATCACGAGTTTCAATATTGGATTAAATATATTAGGACACCAAAGTACAGCCTCAGAAGGTTGGTCATTTGTGAAAAAATTAAAACTGTCAAGAATATCTACCAAGTTGAGAGACCTGGATATGAAACCTCTTGCACCAGGCTGTTTAGCTGCTATTCCAGCTTCAGGTTGAGCACTGACCACTGGGGAGCACATAGCTCCAGATGTTTCTCCTGATCACTCAAGAAAAGACAAATGTACAGTTAATCTCTGAAAAATTGTGTCTGAGTGACTTTTCACTGATACATCAGCTTGGAAATTCCATGAATATTCATTTCGGCCCTTCCACACACAGAAATTCAGTTTGTGGTGACATATCGCAGGGGAAATCTCAGCTCAAGGAGCTGAAGCCTGGCAAAATCATAAACAATCAGAAACAAGGCCTTCTAATGGAAACTGTTATACAGCCGTAGGTATTGGGCCACTGTCATCTTCACAGCCAGAGAGTGATTTAATCTGTCCGTTATGAGAGCACTGGGAGTGATGAATAGGTCTTTGTATTCATTCTCAGCAAGAACGTACCCAGAATGACATATGATGTGGGTTTTTTTAGTCTGTTAGTCAGCTGGATCTTTAAAGAGCCAGGATTTTGCACAACATGGCTATCCAAAGCAGTGCCACAAGATATCAACCACATTCAGAAAGATGGTTTCCAGGGTGGCTGATTGCATCTCTCATCCACAACTTCATTACATATGCAACTTATCAACAGTGAAGCCTGGTGTAGGCTTCAGATAAAGCTACTCATGCTGGTCACACTTTTTCTAATCAGGATGGCATGAGGTCATAACTGCAGTTTGTCTGCGGCTGCCAGCACAAGAAAGCACAGCCACGGGGCTCCTCCACAGAACCATGCTGCTTAGACCTACCAGGGCTGACACAGATGACAGGCTACCTACCCTACAACAATTCCATCCTCATGCACATCTTCTAAACTTATCTGCGTTGCCACTGGTGTGAATTCCATTTCATTTTGGCACCACCCCCAAAGATGTTTTCTGCCATTCATATGAACATGGCCTATTTATTTTTCTCTTACATTTGTGATGAGTTATTTATTAGCTCTTAATCCCAATATGGACAAAATGCTCAAACTTCATTAAGTTAGACTTCAGTCAGAAGCTGAACACCATGAATGATGATTTTCCTCCCTCTCCATTTCCTGAGCTGTCCTTATACATACATACTCTTGAGACTTAAGGGTGAACTGATCTTGGGAGAAGACACAGCAGAGAACAGATTTGTGTGGGCTGACTGTGTTGGTGGTGTTGGATTTGAAAGGGGTAGAGCACAGACTCCTCTACATCTGAGCTGTAGAAGCTAGATTTTACAGCCAGGGCACAAAGGCTTGGCTTCCTGCAGTGCTGATGGTGTCTTGCCCCAGCACAGCATGCTGCCGCCACCAGAGAAAATTGAGAAATATTTCCTTGTCCCTTTTTTCCTAGGTCACAATTAGGTTTTTAGAATCATTCCCAGAGAGCAGTTGGGCCCAAGACCCTATGCATCTCTACTCTGGAGCATTGTGAAAGGCTTGAACAGTGTTGTCTGTCACTACCAGAGAAGCTCACCATTCACCAAGGTGCAGAACTGTCAGGGCTGGTTGCTAACTTTTAACTTGTCCGGCAATTGGTTAGGAAACTTGAAGTGCTGACAAGCCACAGACTACAAGTATGTAATTAAATCTATCCCTACTCAATGAAATGATGTACTTAAAGCTAAGAGTGTGCTTGAGTGCTTCACTGAAAGGCATAAACCTTGAACTGAGGTGGTTAGTCAAGGATAAGAGATAAGGGGAGTTGGGAACACTCATCTGCAGTCATTAGATCAGAAGGTGCAAGATGGACTCTACTGTTCATCATGAGTGAAGCCAGATGCATTTGGGAACCAACTGAAGAGAAAATAAACTGGGACACATAACAGCTGTAGCGTTTCCCATTTAAATAGTGCAGAGAATGATTATGCGTACCTGTAAAGATGCAAGTCACTTCAAGCAGTTAATAGGTTCACTGAACAACCACCAACCTAGATAATTAGATCGAAAGTACCAGCTTCTCAGTCTATTCTTTCCTTTTGATAGACGTCTCCCAGAAGTCAAGTATGATTTTCACAAAGCGAGATAATAAGCTGTCTGTTGTAGGAAGTCTAGAGTGAACCACACAGAAAATCAACACAGTCTGAAAACAAGAAACATGTCAAAATGCAAAATCAGTTACTTTAAAAATAAAATGAGAGAGTGACTCAAACAAGCAAGCTTTGGCTTACAGGTACTATTCTAAGTCATCAACAAAATAGGAAAAAAATTATATGAAACTTGCTGAAATTAACTCTTGATATGTATTTGCCAGCGCCATTGCTTGCTTTCCAGGCTGCACAATTTCATCCTCAGTAGATGTCAGGTTAGAGAGAGAAAGGAGAAAGGGAGGTACTACAGGACAGTGAAGGGACAAAGAAACAAGAAGGAACAGTATATAATGCTTTTATATCACACATATCATACATATTTTGACTTTCACTAAATGTTTGTTTATTTACATATTTCCTTCCAAAAGTGGCTGGGAAAACTTAGACTATCATCTAGTTGTGTGAGTACAGGATGTCTTCTTGTACAAAAGACGCCTAAGAAAACTCATGTAACCCATGAAAATTGCTAGGGCATCACATAGGCCATAAGCATGGGCCATGGGAGTGTGGGTAAGCCCAACCTAGTTGGGCCTATGGCTAGGCAGGGATGTGGGAAGCTGGACCCCAGCCCTGCTGTGGCCTCACTGGGTCAGAAGCTGATGGCACGGGGGCTGAGGTGGGGCCCAGACTGGTTGGGGTGCCTTGGGGAGAGGACAGAAACATCAGGGCCCAGCAGTACTTCCAATGCTTTGGCTGACATAGCCCAAGTGCCTACATGATAACACAATTTGTGGAGTCAGAGGAAGGTTGTGCTGTTTCCAGCTGTTTGACAGCAAATCCAGCAGTGCCAGTGAAGAGAGGATGCAAACTCCCTCGATCTACCTAGGTAGAGTTGTCCCAAGCAGGGAGATGTTACCCACAAAGCTGATGTTAATCCAACACCTCCATTCCTAGCAATGGAAAATAGTTATTTCATGCCTTCAGTTGATGAAAGGCATGCTCATTAGCCTCTGCTGCTTCATTCCCATCCCATTCTGGGACCAGCCGTGATGGTCTTTCCCAAGACAGGAAAGGAAGAGGTTGGACACCTGAAGCTATCGTTGCTTCCTCAGCAAAACAGTTACCTCAAAGAAGATCAGAAACCAGGGTTTACATAGGTGGAATATTCTACATGAAGTCTTTATGTTATTTTTTCTTCAGCAGTGAGAGTCAAAAATTTGTCAGCGAGTGACAGTTTGGGTTGCTGGGCTTTAGTGGTTCTTATTTTTCTCCCCTCAGTGATTTGTGCCAACTGTTACTTCATGCATATGGAATACACAACTTCTAGCCTTTCCTTGCTGGTGTGAAGTAAGAGTTTGGCACGTGTTGAAAACAACAAGTAGAAATTAACTTGCTCTCTCCCATCTTCAATGTCAATAACTGCCAGTAATTATTCAAAGTATTAAACACAGCCATCTTGCCGTCACCTTAATTCTTCACATTAAAAAGGGATTATATAACAAATTAGTCTGATTTAGTCTATCTTCCAGAGACTGACTCAGTGGTTCACTCTTCTTTATTAAATTAACAGTTGAAGAAGCTTTGGCTTACGGATACGTTATGAAATCCTTCCCAAGTTCGGACCACCGGTGCTAAGGAGTGCTTACTGCTCTGGAACCACCTCCTTGGTATTTGCAGAGCCTGAACTCCAGCTGACCCACCACACAGTGAAAACATGCTGGTAGACACTTGTAATCTGATCTTCAAACATTTGCCTTCCAATTTAGAACAAGTGATCCCCAGTTCACTGGGGTCTTAGAGTCTCTCAGCTCTTTCCTGTGCTTGTTTAAATATAAATTAGAGTTCAGACTTGGGGTATGTGACAATGGAGTCTCTACTAATTCTCTCTCTTGTGATGGCTTAGCAAGAAGCAGCAGTTGCAAAGCACAGATAGATCCCTTTCCACCAGTTGTGTGAGGACATCTCCATTGCATTCAGTAGTGGGAATGTCTCCTCAACAGAAGGAAAAGTTGCAAACACGTAGTGTGTCTTATTCCTCCTAGGCTTAATGAAGTCTGCTGATGGTTAGTCATATGAAAGCCTGATGCAATGCCCACTGCAGCCAAAGGCTGTTTTTCTTCTGGTTTTATAGGCTTTGGATCATCGCCTTGCTCAAAACACTAAACCTGTGAGTATTTCAACCTTCAGGGTCAAAACTCATCATTTTCTGCATTCTTTGCCTCTATTTGTAATGAACTCATGTCACCACTACAATGATAGATTTGACAGTAAGCATATCTGTGAACAGTACAGAAATTATCATTTTTCTTCTGTTTTTCTTTCTTTCCTTCCTTCCTCCCCTTCTGTTCTATCACTTTCTCCTTTGAGGACAAAGAAGTAATTGCTTCAGATGAGCCCTTCTCATTATTTGCTTGCGAAAGGTGTTGGCCTGAAACTTGGGCATACCAAGTTAACCCACTAATCTGCTTTCATTTTATTTCCTTTTCCACATGCAGTCACCTCACAATCTGTTAACTCACATTGCTTTGAGAAAGCTCAGTTAAAGCAAATGAAATCATTTGCTTTTGGTACTACCAGTTCTCTCATGATCTGCGTACCACAGTTGAGAAGAATTTACTTTATCCAGCTGCACACATGACCAGTAATGTTCAACTGACACTGATGTTCTTTTTAAAAAGTCTTTTGAGGAGCGAATTTGTGGTTTTTTTTGTTTTTTTTTTTTTAATATGAAAACCTGATTTTGTCAGATGCTTTGTTATATTCCCAACAATCTCTGACTTAAGAACTGCTGAGTACTCTCATAGGAGGAACATACTGTATCAAATCTCAATATTCATCACTCAAAGGATTTAAAGTCACCCAATTAATCGGTCCCACAATTGCATACAATTATTCAACAATCTAGTAGTATTTCATCTGAAGTTGTTCATAGTAAGAAAATACTACATGCAAGCACACCATTTGAGATCAGAATTCCATGTATGTGCCAAAGGAATGATAGTTTAATGCTGATAGGCTGGAAAAATCAAAATCCAAAAACAGCCCAATTCTCAAGTGACAAAACACATGGGGAGCAATAACGGTTTCTACTGCCTTTGTGGATTAGACACCCAAAAATTGAAGAACTTGCAGTAATTGTCCTTCCAACCATGCTGTTATGTATGATATGGAAACAGCTTCTTTCAAAACCCCTCATACAAACCCTAAAAACCTCTACCCACTCAAAGGGGACAAATAAATAAACAGGAAGTCTTATAGAAATGGACACGAATAAAGAATTTACTTCTGTAGGAAAGAATTTCCAAAGATATTAAACCAGTGTCTCAGTGTTTCAATAACGTAATTTTCTCTCTTAATTTTTACATCAGGATTTTAAACATCTACAGTTTTGCAGACTGCCTTAACGTAATCTATATGTAAAACAACCCAACCACATGCTGCCCTGTTCAATATGAACAGCTTTTGTTCAAAGTGCATTGGCTGGCACTTTTCCATATGGTATTTTTGTTTTGGTCATCGTTGTCAGGCAATATTGTAATACTAAAATATATTGCAAATATTACATTAAAAATGTATCCCATTCCATAAAATGCACTAGTCCTGTAAAAATGAAGTTCTGTTGAAATCCTGATAACAAAACATTGACATAACAAGACATTGGCAGTTGTTATAGAATATTTGTGACCTTCATTTTCAGTCCAGCAGCATGGACAGGATGGAATTACACTAGCAAGTTCACACTCACCAAAAAATTTATCCCCTCTGGTATGGTTTCATGGGATTCAAAACATCATAGAACACTTCAGGCCTCTCTGAGCAGTGGTCACCCTTGCTCATGGCATTCTGCAAACTGGAAAAACAAACAGCAACTTAAGAAAATTGTTGGAGTTGTTTTCATTTTGACAGAGCAACAGACAAGAATACACAAACATTTCAAAGGAGGAAACTAAGTCAAAGCATTAGTATGTCTGCCACAGAGAGTTTTTGCACCCCATTCTTAAGAAAGGAAGGAAGAAAGGAAGAAAGGAAGAAAGGAAGAAAGGAAGAAAGGAAGAAAGGAAGAAAG